GTTCCTGCCCCTGTGCTCATGCAGGTGCTTACAGGGATCCAGGAGGATGTGGAGACCACCAGCCAGGTGTCGTCCCAAAGGGGTTCGCCAGGAATGTGGGTCACCAGGTCTCTGCCCAATGTGGTTCCTCTGATGGGGGACGAAGTTGGAGCAGCGCACGGAGCTCTTCCCAAACTCGGGGCACTCACAGGGCTTCCCTTACTTGTGGTGCCGTTGGTGTCGGGTCAAGTTAGAGCTCTGGGTGAAGCTCTTCCCACACTGGGAACACTCATAGGGCCTCTCCCCAGTGTGGATGCGCTGGTGGGTGATGAGGGTGGAGTTTTGCTTGAAGCCCTTCCCACAGTCAGGGCAGCGGAAGGGCCTCTCATCTGTGTGAATCCGCTGGTGCAGGAGGACACTGGAGCTGGTCTGAAACCTCTTCCCACACTCAGAACACTCGTAGGGCCTCTCCCCAGTGTGGATCCGCTGGTGGGAGTTGAGGTTGGAGCTCTGATTGAAGCTCTTCCCACATTCTCGACACTCGTAGGGCCTTTCTCCAGTGTGGATCAGTCGGTGACGGAGCAGGTAGGCGCTCTGGCTGAAGCTCTTCCCACACTCCAAGCACTTGTAGGGCTTCTCCCCAGTGTGAAGCTGCTCATGAACCTCCAGCTCCAAGCCCCGGCTAAAGCTCTGGGTGCCTTCCTGGCACTGGGTGGATCTTTCACCCTCCGAGCACCCTGGCTGGTGTTTGCAGCCCCTCCTTGCACAAGATCTCCGCGACTTTTCCTCCCTACTGGATTCCTGTGCTGTGGAGATGCTCAAAACAGACTCTTCCATGATGTTCTGCTGGGGGGATTTGTCCTCCTTGGTCTCCATCCTCAGCTCATTGCCTGGAGGAGAAAGGAGAAGGAGAGGATGGGATTTGCCTCCGTGCCAGAGGGAAGGGGAAGGAGATCCCCCAAATCCAGCCGTGGCAGGACGGTGTTGGCAGCGGGGTTGTCCTGCAGCCGGGGCAATGCTGGGCTGGGAGATGGAGCAGAAGAGATGGGTAAAGGAGCCGTGACTTCCTCCTCACCTGCCTGGGGGTCCTGGGACATCCTCCTCTTCCTCACAGCCTCCTCCATCCAGCCAAGGTTGGGGAATGGGAAATCCTGCTTGGGG